GGAGCGACCCAACTTCTGGGTGGAGGGCTGTCTCACACTGCGGCCTTCGTTAGAGCACCGAAACTCCTCATAGTAGCTAAGGAACGGAGTTATGGACGTTAAGACAAATCCAAGTTGTCTTCAAGGTCCTTTTGTGTCTTCATTGTAAATGTGAACTGAATACTCAGGGGTTACATGATGTCTTGAAGTTTGTTCATGTGTCTTACCTCTCTGCCATTCCCTATTGCCAAGATATTTATTAGCTGAAGTGAACAGCATCAGGAAACCAAAATGTTAATTCAAGTAAAGTACTTTTATTTTTTGGTTAGGAGCTATTAGGATAGCAATTAGGTTACATTTGTTCAAGGTTGATAGCTATACTGCAAGTCTTTTCTGTAATTGTCCTTCATTTCCTCTGAATTTGGATGGCATTTATATTTCTGAAAGTGTCATTATACAGAAATCAATATTCTTTACAGAATTGTAGCAAGAAATTTTCAAAATATCTTACTTTTAAAATTTTTAATAATTTGCCACGATCAAAAGTGTGGAAGAATTGTTATTTTTATTTTCTTCGATATTTGCTCTGTCGTTTTCGTATGTGGACACTTTTTATATCGGCTGGTGTTAAAACAGTATAACTCTGAAAACACGCTAAGCAATTAACTCTGTGGGGCAGAAGCTAACAGTCACACGAGAATGAATTGGCAAGGGACGTGGGTGAAATTGCATCATACTCTGTCTCCAGCGTGGTGTTTGTAAGCTAATGGTTTTTGTGTATGCCTGATAATTCTATACTACATTTATCTGAAATATGAATCTACATAATTGTATTCTATATGATTGTCTTTGTCTCTGTATAACCTCAATGTATTATGTATTTCCTTACATCAGCATAATACATGAGATTTTATTTTGTTTTATACTGTTTAAAGCAGTTAAGTTTATCCAAATACATCAATAACTTTCTTGCAGGATAATGTTTCTCCACATGTGAAGTGCGAATTTGAGATTGTCGCCGTAGGAAGTTAGTCATATTACTTTAATTAAATTAGTAATATTTTAAATGTGTTTGATGCACAATATTTTGATACATCAATTGTGGAAGGGAACATTTACGTTTACTATATTTGATTGCTTTAAGCATGAATGATCGTGGACATGTTACATTATCATAAAATAAATAATTTGCCATTCCCCAGAAGTTTGAAAATACTAACATTGATATTAAATGAATATGTTTAGACGTAATATGCGTAATGACACATCTGTAAATGTAATTGTCTCATCAGATTCAGTGCAGTATTAGTTCATTGGCTGCAAAGAACCTAAAATATAATTTTATTGGCTTTGTGCCCGTAAAAACTTTATTCGTCTGGAAATATGTGTTTGAATAAAGACTTTTCATAGGCATTGTATTACTGAACTTGTATAGTTTATGAAATGAAAAGCAATAGAAGTGTGGCATTGTGTTGCTCAATTGTTTTGTCACTTGATCCTCTGAGAGTAAATTGACTTCATGACAGTAGGGAAAATCTGTTGGTATCAAAGATTAAAATGTTACAAACCCAGTGTTTCTTAAACTTAAGATAGAAAAAGAAATATTGATACAGTTTCCTTAAAATTTGGAACTACTTGAAGTGCTTTAAATAAAATATTTATACAGATAACTCAAAATATCTTAAGAGCAGAGCATTAAGATTACCTCCGTTCTCCAGTCTGGCTCACTACACTCAAGAATCCTTAAATGGCAGATGCACACATATCTCATAACCCTTTTATTTGTAATGTTTATTTCCATCTACTTGATCTCTCACAACACTAATTTATCTGTTATAAACACAAACTTTAACATGTGATTGCAAATCAATAAGAATTTCGTAAATACTTTTGGCACGATTTCCACATTTTGTTTATCATGGTTACAACAAATTTTGATGGCAGACTTTGTTTTATTTACTCCGTAAACAGAAAATGTGAAAACGAAATAACACAAATTTGTTTTGCTGAGTAACTGAAGAAAGCAGCATATGCCAGACACCCTAAAAAAAAAGCAAATATAAGTGGATGTTTGTAACTGAAGTTGAGGGTGTATGTATGTACGTGAGTGCAAGTCAAGGGGTTAATGACGAACACAGCACATTAGTTTTGTTATAATGTTTAGTAGTTTGTTTATTGACCCAAATTTTAAAAATGTCTGGTATGCGTACATTATGTTTAAGTTGTGGGTTTCGGATTTACAAGAAACTTATCCGACCTTCTTTTAGTCTGTGATTCCCTAAGTTTGAGAAGCACTGATTTAAGCCTTACCACGGTTTACACCATGTAAACTGTTTGTGAAGGTTTTTTTAGTTATGTAATTTTTAACTCTTTAAAAGAGCCTCATTTGATGACTGCCAGTGAGCCACAATAATTGATGTACTTGTCTGCAGTATGCAGGGAAAGGTCTTATTAGCACTTCGTGGCTTCGCACATATTGTTCAAGCCTTCGTTGCTGATGCATGTCCGTGAGTGTATGTGTGTGAAACTGTATGTATAAGAAGACTATAGATTAAAATTACGTGATATTTTTATAAGGGGATTGAGATTTTTTATATAAAATTTGTATAGAACTGTATTTTTAAGTAATTTCAGTTTTGGTAGTAATAATTTAGCTGTTATGTCTATAAGGTGCAATATGTATTTAGTATATTGTCTTGCAATAACCTGTGGAAAAGTGTACTGCAGACATTAGCGGGGCCTTTGCAGATGGTTTACTGACACATAAAATGCTTGTTAAACACACAATACTTGCTGCGGTACCCTTGCGGATATTCTCTGGTTTATAATAAAATAAACTGTAATGACATTGATTTCTCATGTCTTTATTAATTTTACAGAATCTTGAAATTTGTGTATGCAGTAATATTAAGTGGCAGAATTAATTTTCTTTTCATTCGTAGTTGAAACTAAATTTTGACAGAGATATGTAACATTTTATGTATTAATTGAATTTGGTTAGGGAAGAGTTCCACAACTTTCAAGTCTGCAGCACTCTAAATATGTCAAAGACACTTTCAGGTTCACAAAGAATTGTTAGAGATGAGGAGCAAGAGATGTGTGTGAAAGGAAGAAGACTAAAATGCCTGGATATAAATCATATGAAGAACAGCTGGATTGAGCTGAAACATACTGTAATACAGCCTATTCATAAATGTAAGATAAGGGTGATGTAATTGTGGCATCCATTATCTGTTATTCGGAAGATCGTGATGATCTTGTGGCGGCACGTGTTTTGTGAAATAATGGTTTAGGCACCATAAATTATTTTCCTTTTCGAAGATCGTGTGTGTTTCAAGCTTTGTCTTAGTTGTTAAAAAAACAATATTGGTGTGGTAGAAGTTATTTTCATACACTTGGCCGCAGTGGGTCAATGTTGAACATATGCATTTGGAGTGTATGACATATGCAATGTTAAAAAACCAGAACTGCAGAGAATGTGTATAAGTACATGCAACAGTGACTGTTTTAATGTCGTTCCACAGGTGTTTTCCTTTGTCTTCCTGTTGATCTCTGAAGTGTGACTGTACACATCATTTCTAGAAATAATTATATTACATATTCTTATTATTCTGTTTTTATGTTAACTTATTTTATAAATAACTCACACTGTTACCAACTGAATGGATGGAGGTCTTCAGAGACCCTTTAAGTGCTAGCATGAGGTGGGTTATAAATTTGCCAGGCTGGACAGCTGATGGGAGGTGCTGCAATTCAAGGGTCATGTTTACAAGATATGATAACCCATGGGTTGTTTTTTGGCTATTAGAAACTGACCTCCTGAGGATTAAATGATGGCATTACAGTTCATTGATCATAAATATGTTTTAATGCTTCTTTACTAGCATGTATATTGAAAAGTTATAAATGCACAACTGCACTTTACACTAAATACTCTTCACAAGGAAACACTTCAACAGTAAGAGCAGCTGCTTTAAGTTAGAAAATGTCACAATATGATTTTTCATAGCCTTACAGGCATCAGTCATTTGTTGCAACTACAATTTGAATAGGTTAACATTTAAAATAAACAATTTAGACCACTTGCGTGTGTCCACTCCGAACAAACTGAAAAGTGGCTTTAACATTTAAAATGAACAATTTAGACCACTTGCGTGCGTCCACTCCGAACAAACTGAAAAGTGGTGTATGATGTTTGACAGCAATTCACATTGGCCTTCTGAGACAAAATGTCCATCTTTGTTCCTGCAGAGTTTCCAACACATATACGTACATTGAAATTTAATTGTTTGTGAGAAAAATCAAAATTGCCATTGTGAGGGGATTAGTATCCTGGCTTATGTTTTACCTTAAGCTCAAAATTAGTTTCATCTTGACTTGAATCCTCATTACCCATGTCTATTGAAAGAGTCAAAAGTCGGGATGTATCTGCTGCAGCAGCAAACACGTTGGTGACATGTCAAAACAACAAAGTGGAATTAGTCATCATCTGCACTCCAACTAAATTTTAAATTGGAAATGACAATTTGTAACCTCTTCCAACACGGAACTCAGCAGCTACATGAAGGTGAAAATAACAGTAAGTTTAAGATACATACGGTGAGGAGTTAATAATTGTAAATTTGTAACCTGATAGGAATATTAATAATTGTAAATTTGTAACCTGATAAGCAGAGAATGTCACAACTAATTCGAAGAAAGCCATGGATAAATTGTTGATACTAGAACTCGCCAAAAGTTTTGATTGGATAAGGCAATGTTATGGTTGTGGGACTGGTGTAAACAACCTTTAATACTAGAAGTGACACGTCATTTCAGGGACATCTTTGTTCCACATGGCTGGAAGTTACAACAGACTTCCTAGTTTCTCAGGCCTATTGGTTTCGATTTCGGTTCATGCTAAACTGTATAAAACTAATGTAAGGACAATGGTCGGCATGCATTTACGACATCTATCGGTAACCAACTAGAATTACTTGAACAAAGCATACACTAATTTTATTATTTTCTGTGCTTCGTAAGATCTATGACATAGGCATAGCCAACCTTATGTTTTCTTGGGAACGATGTGGGTATAATAACATCGTCTTGTGCAGTATAAATTTGAACTAATTCGTCATAATGGACAGTGAAGTAGTGAATTGTGTAAAATTGTTTAGTAAGTATAATAATGTATAAATTACCACAATACGTATTGTAATATGAGAATGAAACAGGTTCAACAACCACCAGTGTATTTGGCGGGTTATTTAAAAGCAATATTTTCTTTACAGTCAAGGCTAACGTTAGAAGAGTGCAAATTGCTTTGGCACTTGCTATAATAAAATCCAAACCAGAAGGTATTACAGCTGTTCAACATGCCGCTAACATTCAAGCTCGTTACAGGATTAAATATTCCAACTGTGTAAGTTTTGTAATTCAGTGTGACACAAACGGCCTAAAACAAAGACGATTTCACTGTGAACTGAAGTAACTAAACATGAACACTGCTTTATTACAGGTGCTTGAATGGTCTGGTAGTTCAAACCAGTTTGTTACATATGATCAGAAGATGCTTGCTTTGCAGCAAGGACAGCTTATATCAAGTCTCTGGGGAGCCTTGCCCCAGCTGACAACGATTGATCCTATACACAGTGAGCCCCAGAATTTACAGATGTATCAAGGTGAGAGAATTGTTATTTTCATTACAGTTACCATCAATTTTATTGTTTGAAATAATGACAATTTTTTCTTATGCTGTAATGTATGATAAGAACAGTGGTTCTTCCCCGCTGTTTATAATAAGAACATTATGTGAACATAGGTTTAGCAGACCAAAACTTATTTAGGGTCTGCATTGACCAAACAGGGTTTCAGGAAGGACCTTAGAACACTTATGTTCTTTGAATAGCTTGCATTCAATAAAGAAACTGCCCCAGATTATAAATTAATAATTTTGTAGGCAGTTGGAATTTGACCAAGAATTTTGATTAAAGTATGTCAATACAGAGTCTTCTGCAGCTATTATTCCTGTGAATATTACACACATGTTTGATCCCTGCATGTTAGATGGTTGAAGGATGGGTTTACAGCCAAAGGGAGACATTGATACAATTTTGGGGTCAAATTTGAACCACATTCTTTAAAATCTTTTGTTATATATTTAAGTAGTTTTGCATTAATATACATTTTCTTTACCTGAAAGTCATGAGACATAACCTCAAATGTTTGTTAGTTATGACGTTTAAATTGAAAAGTAAATAAGTATTCTATGTGGTCATCGTGTTCTTTTGCATGATATCAACTGAAGTCTAATAATTAAAAACCCCTATTAAAACAAGCAAGGCAATCATATTTCACATATTAATGTTTTATATTTTGCAGAATTTTGACATTTCACATTAATTTAATGTTGTTACATGTTATGAAGTTTTCTATAAGGAGATACTGGACCAGAAAGAAATATGTGTTTAATTTAAACTGGACTGGAAGCTGTCAATGTGATGCATCTGTATCCAAACAAATATTTGTAAAGAGGGTAGGAGGTGAAGAGAAAAGTCTGAAACCCTTACTAGGATTTGAATCTCAGTCATATAATCTATGGCCAGTTACTTTTGGATAAGCTGTACATGTATCGTCCTATACAGACCATCATATATTGATTTTAATATATGACATTTTCAGGTTGTTCGAATGACATGTTTGAGAGTGAAAACAATATGAGTTGGACTGATGTTCAAGTGGGTAATGACAGTGATGATTTAATGATGGAACAAAATGAGATAAACCTTCAGTTTATTCAAGCTATGGTTCAGTTGAAATCTGTTGCGAATAGCTGCTCGTACGTTCCAACATCTGAGTTGCAAAACATTCTTCTGACAAATAGCTGCTCGTACATTCCAGCATCTGAGTTGCAAAACATTCTTCTGACTGTAAATACTGGTAATGACAGAGAGGTGAAAGAGTTTCAGACTGACTGCAGTCATGGACCGGACAGATCTGTAATACCCAATTTTCCTCATTCCGAACTGGATTTTGGTTTTGTAACTAACAGAGGTTCTAGTGTTTCTAGTGGGATACTAAAATATATAATCCATTCATCGGATGCAAATCGTCTCCTGGTTCGCTCAATAGAATCTGTTCTTCAGTATTTGGGTCAGAGCATATTGACTGAAAAGTATGAGTCATTAGATAAGATTGTCCAAAACTGGAAGGGCTCTGTTCTGGAATATTCACTGAATGTTGTGGTTGAACTCGTGAACTATTTTGGATGCCAAGGAGAAGAGCAAAATGAATGCCGTGAAGTTTGCTTCGGTTTCATTCGCAATGTTGTCGACAAAATTCTCAACACCGATTCACTAAATATGGTAATGTTTAAATTTTTTTGTTAAAGTAGTATTTGAAGATAATGTCAATATATATTACTCTTTCTAAATCAGCTTCCTTGCTTATAGACTATAGTAACATTACAAGGTTAAACTTGATATAGATGTTTTTCCATAATTTACTTATTTTTATATTCATATACAAAAGTAAATTTCCCTTGAAAGGCATTTTTTTCAGATTGTTTCTCTTTACAGCACCCTGTATGGACTCGGCAGTGTTGTATTATAGTTGAGATGGGAAACAGCAAATTCTTATGCATTGATTTTCTCAACTACTTGATTGACGTGATACAAATTATGACTAGAAACCTAAAACCGAAAGCTGCGTCAGCTAATGTCGAAAATAAAGACCTTCCAGTCTACAAACCAGGAGATATAGAAAGAAGTTTTTATATATTCTACATGACAGAGAAACTTCTGAAGAAGTGGAAAAGTTTCCAGTCGTCAAAGATGTCAACAAATATGAATGATACATCACGGGCTCACAGTACTAATATATTAGATCTCTGGAGACAGAACTGGTGTAGATCATCCAGCAACACAAAATCACCAGGCCGAAGCAATGATGTAGAGTTGAATCCAGCGTCCAGATGGAAGGATGTACTTGAGGAATTGGTAGTCAATTTCACTGAAGATTATCCATTCTTTACATTGTATTCATTTCAGTGTTTGGAGCTTCTTCAGCCAGAAAATTGAAATATTTACCACATGTAAGTCTCTGAACTACTTTACTGAGTGTTAAGTAATTAGTAAATGTTTTTCCTGCTAAATTTAATTAAGAACCAAATGTATTTTAGTTTATAATTCCCTTGAATTAAATGTGTTAAGTGTTTTTACCTGCTGAAATGTGGCAGGAAAGTTAATTTTTTAAAGATAAATATAAACAAATTTTCATGGCTGTGTAAACACACACACACTTATGATCATATCTCAAAAAATACTACTGTTGGTACTGGACGGTGTTATCAGTCACCTCCCTTCCATTTGCTTTTATTGTAATAAATGATTACTACACATTTATTAATTATTCTTGAACAAAGAATTTTAACTTTTAGATTTGTTATTCTTAAGATGTTCCTCTAGTTATAAGAAACTACTTCCTGTTTGATTTATAGCAATATAAACAAATGCATTTCCCACATAAACAATAAAATACTTCAGATTTAAATTAGAGCAGCCGTCAGTTGTTCAAGATCTTTCACAGAAACTTGACTTTGATAGTGGTTTTGTTAAATGTGTCATGCCTTTTGAGTTAAAAAAATAATCAATGCCTTTTTTTTAAAAACTTCCTTTTATTTGTTTTTAATTTTCTTTTTAAAATACAACAAAAACTGCATTAAGATACAACAACAAAAAAACAACTTTGTCTTCTTTGAGGAGGTACAATGAAAATACAGTTCCACTCCAGACTGTCGTAAATAAGGCTGTCTTTTTTCAGCCATCATTATTTCCAGTTTACATCTTAGGGTTATATTAGGCCGTGCAGTCCTAACATTGCGAGATTAACCAGTCTTAAATGGTTGGCAGCACTGCTGTACAATCCATAAATTGTTGTTACAGTGACGACAATGACACTTATTATTTTCATTCCGACTTCACTCATATCTGCTTTATTATTTTGAAGAATACAGGTCAACTTTTCATTCATGTTAATACTTTATTAGCGCTTCCACTTTAAAGCCACATTCTTCTTTTCGGTCTGTGATTTTAAGTTCACACTTTAACGGCAGCGGACGCAAAGTAGAAAATGTTTTACAAATTATATTCCTACGGGTTTGGTAGTCTCATGGTAACAAATGAAAATTTGGTTCAGAAATCATGAATTTGATCCCTGATGAGATATTTTCTGTGCACAGCTGAATTTTAGATTTTGGTAAAGTTGAGGGTATGGGGGGGGGGGGGGTGATACATGTTCCTTTGCACTGTTAAACAATACTGTTCATAAAACCACTCTTATAAATTTAAAAATCCACTTATAGTGTTCGTACTTATAAGTAAACGTCTGCAACATCATCGCTCTCTTTATCACAGTAAAATCGTTCCAAGTTTTTAAAATGTAAGTTCTTTTTTGTTTTGATTCTTGGGGTGAAGTTCAAGGCTTCACTGTTGGTTGAGTGTCACTGTCACTAGGTGTCAGGGTCATAGCTCAGGGACGATTTCTTCATCTCCATCATTGGAAGAATTCCCGTCTCCTGGAAAAGAACGTGCGATACATATCAAACTCATAAAATGTGCTAGTAAATATGAAATTAATCTTTATAAGTTTACGTAAATTGCAACTTCCTTTATAATTCTCTATTAGAAACATGATACTTCTAAATTAACATTGTTCAGAATTTCTTCATAAAGGTGAAGCATGATTTTTACATGACAAATTTCATTACAGGTCTGTAAAGTGTTCTTGGGTCAAAATATAAGTCAGAACTAAGGAATTCCTTACTCCACAAATATAGAGATAATGTATTTAAAAGTAGTTTGAACCAATTGACTTTTTTATCAGCTTCTACAGCTTACGTTCATTCCAATTCAGAATAAATTGATATTTTTGTGATGTTATTCGGTGTCTTTTATTGCAAGTGAATAAATTTACAGCACGCTGTACATAGTTTCATGTAATCTGAGTACCATTTTACATTTATGTGTATGCGATCAGTGCTTAAATTGCAATAAAAATTTGTCAGATTTATTTCTGTGTCCAAGGTCACAAAATTTAATGAAAAATACATTTTATTGTTATTTAGCTTGCTGCCTGCTCAGGGTTTAGGAAATTGAAATTGTTCCTCATGGGAGAAAATAATAACAGTCATTGTATATACATCATGACCGAAGTGGTAACAGTACTGTTTTATATAATTCGCCAAGTTATCACATGGCAAAGCATTTTAATGTCTAACAAGTTAAACTGACAAACGCTACCTTGGGGTACCATAAAAATTACCATGTTACTTATACAATGCAATGTGTCTTATTTGGGGATTAATGCTAATAAACTAACATATGTTAATATTAAATGAATTTCGTGGAAATCTGTCAAAGGACTCGAGAGATTAATTTATTCTTGTAAAGAAAAGTGGTTTTCAAGCCCAAGTGAATTAAAGAGAATGGAATTTATACACAGGTTGTTCCAAAAACGTTAACCCAACTTTGGTGGTCACTTGCCACTTAATTTCTCACCACTGTTAACTGTGCCACGAATCTAACCATGGTCATTTTAAACACCTACACTAGATTTGCTAATTCACCAAATGCCAATGCTGCCGTATGTAATGGTTTAATTTATTCAAATGTTTTTATTTAATCTACTGAATGTGTGTACGCATATTTTCGGAACACTCTGTATTACAATTCTTGTGACATAGAAGTGCAATTTTTCAAGTTTCGTTCCCTTTGACATTAGGCAAGGGAGGGAGGTACTCACTGACCCCGTTGATATGCGGCATCTCTAATGCTGCTGGAACGTACGTGGTGCCTGGGGAACACCGCGTACACGACCTCTTCAGCGCTGGCCTTTGCCTCGACCCGTGACACCGCACGGCGAACCGCAGTTCCTCTGCCATCTCCGAACACAACGATTGCTGCAGTATGGCAAAAGTTTTTTTAACGCTTTAACTGGATCACTCTGTATTTAATGCGTAAACTATTCTAGCAGCTGGATAACAGTGGAAGTGTTTCAGGTTATTTTGTCCCTGGTGGCAGACTTCCTGCAAAATATATCATGACTTATTGAGAAAACTTTTCAAAATTATTAATACTTTTACGTACCCTGTCAGTTTGAGCGTTTTTCTTCGAATTCCAACAGAATTCCAATATGGCGACGAGAATCGCAAGAGCGAGACCACACAGTAGTACAACGAACACACCCCCTAAAACAAACACGCACAAAATATTGTGTCACTCGATTGAAAATAGCTAGTAATTGGTACTAGGAATAGTTAATTCGGGATAGAATGTCTGGGAGCCGATCACAATAACCCCCCCCCCGATTTGACAATAAGGTACGGCCTTGCATCTGTCGAACAATTAGATAACGTGATTTTTTTAAGTTTTTAGTATGTGTTATAAATAATTATACGCACTTGAAATTGTCAGCTAATTTATGAACACCCGGTATAAGATAATTTGTTGCAGTTTATAAGTTCTCGTGTGCTTAATTAAGCACCACGCAATGAATGTATGTATGTATGTATGTGTACGAGAGAGAGTATAGCTCTGTGCGTGCACTCTTAGCCAGTCTTGGGGAAAGATGTTTGACGAGAAATGATTTTCATAACACGAGACACTATTTAGGTTCTTACTTCTTCTCATACTTTCTCATAAGCTGTGACATGAGAGAGCTCACTCACTGTCCGGTGACGCGCTCTAGGTAAGGTTTTAGAACGTTTGGTGCCGGTGTAAACACGTGAAGTATTATGTACATTAACGTAATTATAATTAGCATTATGAAACGAACATTTAAGTATAATAGTGAAAATCTATTCTACCAAATTAAATTAAGACGTACGTCTAGCTAGTATTTATGGTTTAGACTGAGCTTAATTCGGTACGTAAACTTTTGACATTGTGCGACATGTTGGGACAGTGTGTTCAGTGTTTGCAAGTGCCGTGTTAATGTTTTTTTACAACCATGAAGATGGTTCATTCATGTTTATTTGTGTGACAGTAGATTTTATTTCTTGAATGTGTGGATAAAACGTGTGAAGTGGCAGTCACAAGACGTAGTGAATATTCCTTATACAGCACATTTTGGGGTATCTCGAAATGGCCATTAGGAGTGTCGGTGAGTACATCGTTATTTATTGTATTTGAATAGATTTTGGTGTCCTAAGGATTTAAGACTCGGGAAGGTAATGAGTACCAACCGGACTATATTTTAACCAAGTAATTAGTGAACAAAGGAAAATTATCTCAACCAGCTCTGGCTTAATCTAGTCATTTTGCAACGTATTAATTTGTTACCAAGATAACCGTCGGTGGAACTTTTGAGATAGAGGATACCTAAGTATAGACGGGAGAATAATATTAAAATTGATGTTAAATGTATTGAGTCTGAGGGTGTGGAATTGAATAAGTAGCCTTGGAATTTGTGTTGCTCAGAAGAAGACATATTTTCATTCCAATAATTTTATCCCACCATCCATTGGTCAAATGTGTCCTACGTTTGGAAGATACCAAATTTTAAACCACTACAAAACTACCAGCAAAATTACAGTTCTAGCGGGACAGCTTTGCTTTTTTTATAATTTAATATTTAGTACAGATGAATTTCGGTTGAAATACTACATGGGAGGTGGGGGGGGGGGAAGCTTTACTAAATGTTTTAGGGGCGAATTTAGTTTTAATTTGTGTCGGCACGACATAACCCACGTTTTATAGGAAGCGGAAATAGAAATTTATTGATGTTCTCAAAAAGCGACTGATTAAAACGTGAATCACAGTTCTGTGATCCGGAACATGACGTGTCTCAGGTGTCAATTTACTTCGTCAGTCATGTATTTCAGATTTACCGATGTTTTCAACGCCGAGGGCGTTGGCCTTGGACTCTTTACTCTTGTCGTCCCTGTTGCATACGTCTCCCGTGTTCTTCCACCATTTGTCATACAGGATCTGGATTATGCCCTTTTCCTGTAGCTCTAGTACGGCTAGTGAAATCTTGTCTCTCCATGGCGACCCTGAAACATTTCATAGATTCATTAGTAGACAGCCGTGAATATCTCAAATCCTACGTTAAGGCTTTTCTCATACAAAGTGCGAGCTATCTGTTCCACGAGTGATCTGAAGTACTCTTAACCGAGATGTATATACGAGGTGCGATCAGAAAGTTTCAAGACTGTGTCAATAGAGGGCGAACCGGATGTAGTACGAGCTTCTGCCGCTAGGGGGTGCGGCATACATTCATAGTGAATCAGTGTGCCAGCCGGCATCATCGAATTAGCATTTGTTTCTTAGTTACGGGCGTTTTGGTAGTGCATTACACCGACCCTCCTGCGATTTCGGAATGGCGGATTTTCATGAACAA